GACTTAAAATAAAGTTCAAATTAAGATAAAAACTCATAAAAAAACTCTCAACACTCATTTATTTCTGTAAATAGGCTTAAGAAAAGCATTTTAAGTTACATACTTACTTAACACGTGTAAATCAGCCTCAATTAAAATAAATGTATCATTACTCTAAGCTATATTACCTACTGTACAAATGGGACTAAGCATTTCCACCACTGCCACTCCTGTGTAGCCAGGATCTAAGTACAGCTTGACCGCTATAAAAGTATAAAGGCTACCATTGAAGGCCAAGTACTAAAATTAAAGCATTGTAAAAATTAATAGAAATCTGACGAGAGTTATATGTATAAAAAGGCAGTCGTATAAAGATGATGAATAAATAAATGTGAAGCTTCTGCACCTATATGATTCGCGATGTCAGCTAGAGTGACATCACTTTGACGTCAATTTCCATGTTTAGTAGGTTCCTGACTACGAGTAATTATCGGTTGAATTACTAATTTTACAGCTATATCAAACTAATTAGGGTTTCAGGGAAAGCTATAATTTTTTAATATGTGACGATGTAAATGAGAATAACAAATAATTGAATTAGCATAATTATCTATACTTATAATAAATCTGTAGAGAAGTCAATTCTGTACATGAAATATATTTTCAAAATAACTATCAGGGGGTGATTAGTGATCGATACTGATGCCAAAAATGCAATCAGCAAAATTTTTGTCTGTCTGTCTGTCTGTCCGTCTGTATGTTCCTTATAGACACAAAAACTACTCGACGGATTTTAACGAAACTTGGTACAATTATTCTTCATACTCCTAGGCAGGTTATAGTATACTTAGGAATTCCCACGTGTACGAACACGATCGTACATCCTGCTGCACCGTCAGCGTCGACCTGGGAGCAGCTTCCTTCCTATCAAACCCTTATTATGTCTAAGTATTTATTGTTAGGCAGGGCTAGGGCTCTAGGGACTTAGTGTCTTAGGGAATAGGGACTCTAGGCTCACTAGGGAGTTAGTTTCCTTCCTGACCGCATATCCCGGGCACGGGAGCGGTGCCTTACAACCACTGCCTCCCGCCCGTACACCACGGGAACAGGAATTATCGGGGGAAATCCTTTTGTATGAAAAATCTAAACCGCTTAAGTTAGACGCTTGAAATTTGATATGTAGGTACCTTAGTAAACTTAAAGCTTAGTTACAATAAGGATTTCCCGAAATTCCCACGGGAACGGGAATTCCCGGAAAAATCCTTTTGTATGAAAAATCTAAACCGCTTCAGTTAGACGCTTGAAATTTGGCATGTAGGTACCTTAATAAACTTAAAGCTTAGTTACAACAAGGAATTCCCGAAATTCCCACGGGAACGGGAATTCGCGGGAAAATCCTTTTGTATGAAAAATCTAAACCGCTTAAGTTAGACGCTTGAAATTTTGCATGCAGGTACCTTAATAAACTTAAAGCTTAGTTACAACAGGATATTGCAAAATTCTCACGGCAACGGGAGTTAGCGGGAAAAAACATTTGTATGAAATAATCTAAACCGCGTAAGATAGATGAAGGGGGTAAAACGGGATCCACGCGTACGAAGTCGCGGGCGGCCGCTAGTTATGAATATAAATCGCCTTCCACATCGTGGTTACCTATCACAATAATGTTGCCCGGGTCTTTATTATTAGATTGTTCAGCATGATGCATATTTTTCAAATGGTTCACTTTGGAAAGGTAACTGAAATGTGTGTGGGTAATGAAACAACATCAAATAAGCGACAATAGCCCTTTAGCTATGGTGTCGTAGGACTGGCTGAATCGAGATTCGAGAAAGCGGGTTCGATTACACCGCGCTAAAATATTGTGTGGTAAACCCACAGAACATAGATCTATGTTATTAGTTCTGTGGGTGACCCGAATATGACGGTGACTCGAGGGTTTACCGGATCTATTAGTAAATTGTGAGATACAAACTAATAATAGTTCGAGCGAAACAAAAACAAATCTAATATAACTAGACATTTAGATAATATCGATTATTTATTGTTCTAACATATCTTATAATATATTATCATCTTCAGTGAAATTACTTAAAACTAGGTGATTCATTAGTAATGTCTACAGTTATTGAGCCTCAATAACAGACATTCGTTCGTTCGTTTCAGCCGAAAGACGTCCACTGCTGGACAAAGGCCTCCCCCAAGGATTTCCACAAAGACCGGTCCTGCGCCGCTTGCATCCAGGTACCTCCCGCGACTAATGAATAATTTGAGGAGTCTCCGTAAGTTAGATACTTATGTCAGGCTTGAGGCATAAGGACATAGCATAAATAGTTTTTATCATTAGTAATTTTTAAATTTAAGTTTTTAAGTAATTTTAAGTTTATGTGCATATATTATAAAATTATTGTTTATTGAATAAAAACATAATTATAGCATAAGTACTTATCAACTCGGAATGGGATCGTAACCATATCAACTCGAGGCGGTCAGTTTGTATGAAACTCCATACTGCTGTGCAACGCACACTTATCCGCACCGTAAAGTAAACCCCTCGCCTCGTGTTTGGAAAGGCGATATGGTGTTGATCCCTTTCCGAGTCTGCTATGACCTCACAATCGATATCGGCTCTGTGAATCTCTCAGTATAAGCGATGACGCTCTAAACTGAAACATCGCGAAGCTATCACGTTGAATTTAAAGATCTTTTAGACCCCCTGTCGCGGTTAAGTCCAAACGGAAGCGCTCTAATCTGTCGTCTCTACCAACCCACCGTACATGCCCTCTCCTTTTTTGCTCACAAACAGTCTTCGCCAAGTCAACACTTCGACAGTTACGACTTCCGATGACAATAATTAGCATGACAAATGACTGTTTAGATCCTTCAGCGCCTCGCGACTAATCCGTATAGGTTTTTTTATTTACAGCGGCACCCAATAAAGAGAGAGCAGTTCGGCTTTCAGCAGTGCCGTTTTGTTGAATAAAAACCGGAATAAAACAAAGAGGGATGATATGAAGATAGATTGATATTGTTTACTTAAGATTAATTTAGCCACGAGTTCCATACGTGCCTAAAATTGGCTGACTTGTTTTATTAAACAAACTACATTCGTCATTTTGTTTCATCTAGTCTCTTATTCCTCCATTGTGCCATAAGATATTAAATTACAACACACGATAATAAAATAAATCCTTAATATGAATATGCTTACATGATTTTTTCAGAAGTTAGTAGTTGACACATATTTTATTTGTAAGCTGTACTTGGATTTTTCGCAGGCAGAGTAATAGATAAACCTACTACTTTAGAACTGCATCTTAGGTAACAGAATACAATAAGGGTGGGTTTGCACCATTTTACTTTAACTTTGACAAACGTCAAAAAACTGTCAAACTTCATACAAAACACCGGTTATCGTCATAGTTACTGTTATAGTTAGGTGGTGCAACTCAGCCTTAGTGAATTAGAACACGAAAAGAAGACAGTTCACAATTTTCTAGAAGTAGTTCCATTGTAATTGATAGACTCTACTGACGTCACTGCCACGTCGTAGCATACAGGCGCTACGAGTAGGTTAGTATCGCAATGGCGCTTGCGTATTTCCACAGCCTACCTACAAAATGTAACTAGAATGTAGAAAATGATTGCATTTGATAAATCCTTATAACATTATTGTAAAATTTCATCAAAATCAGTTTGGTTCTTCACAAATGACAAAACCTTTTTATTTTTAAAGCTTTTTTTTAGAAGTAGGTAGGTACTTTTTTATGATATCTCCATTTCCCTTGAATTTCAGTAAATATGTGGCATACTGAAACCTGACTCGGACTTCTTGAGAGAACTTGAAGAGTAATGTTGCACTCTTTCGTTTCATTTTCATAAACTCATGCACGTTCACGAACACTTAATATTTAATAATCCACAATTATTACACATTAGTCGGCTAAACACAAATTTAAGAAAATAAAACAATACTGCTAATGCCTCACTTTCCCGCTAAGAAGTCTTTCAAGTTACATATTAGAGCATTTACCCCATTTTGTCTCAATTAAAGATACAGTATGTAGAGACGATACCTTTGTAATAATTATTAATGAATGACGTAAAATTTAGCTACAGGACGTCCATTTCTGACATAACAAAGCTAATGGCAGGTGGAAATACCTACAAAAATCTAACTAGGTAGTTACCATTTTCTTACAGTCTAGCTATCCTGCATGTCTATGCCATACTAGGCTAGTGTCGCCTTTGAATAGGTACAATTTAAATATTTTTTCATGAAATGCTTATTTACTATTTATAGGTTACATTCTTTAGCTTAAGAATAAATGTCTTTTACTTATGAATTTCTATAATAATAAAATTACAAAGATTTTAAAATTTCAGTAATAATTAAAATTAAAAACACTATAATGCTACAAATGCTACATGTTTATGGTAACGACTAGAGTAGGCATTATTGTTTTAACCATTCCCAATGCACCTATTTTGGTTTTTATCGTATCGTTTTTAGCTTTATCATTAAAATCAAATTTTAGCCAAGTCTAAGCAGTAGTCAAAGCAACATTTTAATTTAATCTTAATCTACAAATATTATTTAATAATGTACTTAGTATAAAGTTATGTAAACTCAATATGGAATAATTACTGTGGTGTTGTCAGTCACGTACTCTACTTATGGTTCAGTGGATGATTGGCGGGTTATTTATATTCCTTTTCTGTCCGTACTTATCTACGTTGAGTGCATGGCTTTGTGGTAGAATAGCAACAGTTGTCGTACACAATAGGGTTAGGGTGAGGGATGTTTCGAAGGGGACGCGCCGCGAAGACGCGCCAGCGCCGCCCTCGGTTCCGTCTGGGCGTGCGGCTCCTCCTGCCGAGCTTTGCAGCCAACAGACAGAGATGGAAGATACCCCGCCGCCCCGTGCCAGAGCGAGCCGCGCGCCACGGGGCGGGGCGAGGACGCGGCACAACGCTTCACCGACTGCGCCCACGGACTCGCTCATTCGTCTCTCGTTTAGCGTCCGCTATGTAAACGGGCCTTGTTGTGAATCTAAACAAAATCAGTCAGTCGTCGTTTTGCTGTCGAAAGAGCAACGCGTCGAAGGGCCGCGCTCGCGGTCGGAGCATGGTGTGGCAGTGAACGAACCCCGGAACGATGCACGCGCTCTTCGGCGAACAGAGCCCTTATGCGTACCGCGGAGGAGCCGCCGGCGGCTACTCGGCCGGAGTGACCCCCTATGCCTACGAGCAGTACCGGTACGGGTACGGAGCGCCCTACCTGCACCCGCACCAGCAGCATGTCGGCGCGCCCAAAGACATGGTCAAACCGCCCTATTCGTACATAGCGCTCATCGCTATGGCCATACAAAATGCACCGGACCGTCGAATAACGTTGAACGGCATTTATCAGTTCATCATGGAGCGCTTTCCTTACTACCGAGAAAATAAACAAGGCTGGCAAAATTCTATAAGACACAATTTAAGTCTCAACGAGTGTTTTGTGAAAGTGGCGAGAGACGATAAAAAGCCCGGCAAAGGAAGCTACTGGACTCTGGATCCTGATTCTTACAATATGTTCGATAACGGATCGTACCTGCGGCGGCGACGTCGGTTTAAAAAAAAAGACGCTCTAAAAGAGAAGGAAGAAGCTTTGAAAAGACAGCAGCAGCTACAGCAGGCACAGGAGGCCCTGGCGGCGCAGGAGGCGCTGAGCGCGGCCGACGCGCTGGGCCAGGCGCGCGACGTCAAGCCCGACGTCAAGCCGCGCATCTTCGAGTGCCGGCCCAAGCGCGAGCCCGGCGCCGAGTGTGCCCGCTATGACAAACCATCCGAAGCTATGGACGATTTTAGCGAACCCCGGTTGCCACCCTCAGCCGTATATTGCTCTCCGCAACCATACTCTCTGGCCGCGGAGGAGTTCCGGGCAGCCACTTCGGGCTGGTACGCGGCGCCTGAACCGCCCGCCGAGCAACTGCCGCCAGCATTCCGTGATCTCTTTGAGCCGCCGAGCTGTCAGCTGGCCGGTTTCCGCGGCGGCTCCCCCGGGCCCGACGCTTACAGAGCGTCGCCGCCGCCGCACCACCACTACCGCACACCGGCGCCCTCGTACTATCATCATCAAGCCTGCGTTGCAGCCGCTCCGACACCCGCTCACAAGTCCTACTGAGATATTGCCCTCAGGTAAGCTTTGGTTGTGTTAAACATGGCTGTGCGATGTGTTATTGCGTGGCGTTCGCGAATTAGGCTGTGCGAATGGCGCGCTGGTCCACCCTTGCGGCCGGAGGGTGGGCTGGAGTGCGCGCAGGGACCCCGGGGCACCTCGTGACGTGGTTGTGGTTGCAGGAGGCCGGCATCACACGGCGCCGAACGGATTTAGCCGCCCGCGTCAGTACCAAAGCGGATAAATATAGCGCAGTAGCCGGAGATGCCGTGAAGGCAAGTGGCGGCGCGTCGATAACCACTGTTTACAGATCGGCGGCCGACCCTGCCGCCTCCCGCTCCGTTCACACCTATAGGTATGTCGAAACCCAACATGTGTTAGAAGTTAGCTGTAACAATAAGTGGATCACAATGTGAGCTTGTGAGAGAGTTTTGATGTATGAGTCTCTAATGCCGTTCGTGGTTTTACCGATTTTTTTAACTATCTATTTTAACTTGTGCATAAAACAATGGAATATATAAATTCGTGAGCGGAAATCAATTATGCAACACCGCTGGAATATTCTTCCAGAAGGAGCAGGGATCAAAGGATCAAAATTGATTCAGATTACTGTGATACTGGTATTCACATGGATTCTATCTTCTCAACGGTCAGTTTCTCATGTAGTGACAATATATTTATGTTAGCACCACTAGTTGCAGACTCATTTATGAAGCCATTGTTTACGTATGCATATTAGTTTACAATGTAGCCATTGACGTGATAAAAAATGGCGGATTTGCAAACAGTTGTGGGCTTTTGTTAGTAGAACAAATGAGTTGACCATGTGGCGAGCAAGTGCCGCACACTGACTATAAAAAATGTTAAACAAATCTGAAACTATGGCCGGGCGGGCTGCGGGACCTTGTCGAACGATCTAGTGGGAAAAAATTTTGGTTGATTGTTTGAAATTAGTGAAGTCGTAACAAAGTAAATATTGATAGTACCGATTACGCCAAAATATTCATCTGACCCATAGATGAATATATTACGTCAAAATACTCGTACCAGGGATCATTAACACTTACCGATTGCTAAGCGCATAGTATAAAATCATGTCTAGAACGCGTCAATGATACTTATTCATATAAATAATTTAGATTTTTTTTCGTATGTCTGTACCGATTTTGGCCTGAATAATATATTTTTCTAAGTTATCTATGAGTGGTCCCAGTTGCCGGAAGAATATTATTTTATTTTTACGGATCCGGCGACTGGGTCCGCGGTCCCAGTTAATTGCGGTCCCAGTCGCCGGAAGCCTCCACTTACCTACACCTACGGGGAGTTACTCCCTATCACACTATTTAGAGTGCTAAATCTACCTTGATGCATTTTATATTGTTTTTAAATACCCTTTATACGAGTATGATAGAGATCGGTTATTTTTAAAGTTGTTGCACGACTTCTGTAAAATTCTGTATAATTAGGTATGCATTTCTTCCTTCACTTTTATTACTGATGCACTTACTCGTACGACTAGAATTTAAAAGTTTTCCATTTCGACAAACATATTAGATTTTTAGCATCCTACAGTAATTGGGAAATGTTCGCGATGATTTCTATATGAACACTTTCTTATAGCCCCAAAACCAAAAATAGTCAGCAATCTTGGTAGATGTTAACAATAACTTAAATTTATAGAGACTAGACCATGGTACTAATTACTAATTCTGTGTCTCTACCTAGAATGTCATAATTATCTTCTATGCACTATAATGGTTTACTTCATTTCTACTGCTTTCAAGTTATACCAATAATTTATTATTATTACAAAGACAAACTTACATTAGTATCAATATACGAGAAAAATTGCTATTATTGTTCATGATGTGCTTTTTCAGTCACAGTTAGTATACAATACTCGTAGTATTTTGTCTATAAAAACGTTCATATTAGTTAGAATAGATAAATCTGCCTTATGGATTGTGGAGCCGTTTCTAATTTTCGAGCAAAGAGATATTTTTATTTCTTTGTCAATATCTAAATAATTTTTTATCAACTCTATCCATGTTATACGGGAACATAAAATTATCTATTTTTGTGTCAAAAGTATTATATCTACTCGTAAACGTTATGTTCACGGTTACTCATCAATATTTATTTTAGCAAGCCCCTGAATCAAACAAAACAATGCGGAGTAGCCACAGTGCATCTAAGGTATTATTTATTACATATAGGTATTTGCTCTCGTATTTCAATCAATTTTGTTGTAAGTGTAGGTTAGGTACTGAGTAATTTTGAAACTAATACAGTGCAACTGGTGCAACTAAATGCAATGCAACATTACTTACTCCGGTAAACGGAGTAAGTAATGTTGCTGGGTGTGAAATAGAGCAAATGTAGAGCCATAAGAGATAATATTTTTATTCAATCATTTTGATAATATCCACATTATGTTATTATCCAATCCTCTGCTGGACTTGTCACCGATACGTGTAGCAAGTTGACTCAATTCAATTTAAGTAATTAGCAATCGATCTTTATCTCTGTGGCTGTAAACCATTCATTTAACAGTCGATTTCAGGTATTAATATTCTTGCTACTGTCCAGTCAATATTTAAACGCTAGATAATATAGTATGTATAATACTATGTATATTATCTAGCTAGAGTCTAGAGCTGTTTAATGCTAAAATCGAATTCGTTCAGTCGTAAAATGCTCCTTAAGAAATTTGCCGTATCTACACAAAATATTTTTTTTGCAACAACTGTCATATTTGCCGCCAAAACAAAATGGCGGCAAAAGAAGTTGTATCTGTACCTGTACCTTTGTTAGATGTCCATAAGTTATTTTTTTACACTGCCAGGGGACCTTACGTACTTACGGCTAACTAAGTATCATCTGTCTATAACATAGCAAGCTGCTAAAATAATATGGCCAATTTCTACTTACTTATACCCTTACTTATGTATGTAGTTAGTTAAGTACTTATTCTGTGGTTATACAGTGCGTCTGGTCACCGGTGCCCGACCCATTAGGGCGCAATAATGATCAATTTTATCGACAAATCCACTGTAGGTAACTACCTACTTTTAAAAAATTGCAGCTATTTAATTTTTTTGGGTTTCTAAGTCCGGGTGGATTTATTTATATAGCAATATTCACCGATATACAGAACCTATAGTAAGCATAAAAGTGAATTCATTCGACTGCTTAAAGAGTAGGCAATAGTTGATATCAAAAGCTCCCATCAAAATATTTAAGAAACACTTGAAAGGTGAAAAAATGAATTAAAAAATAATGCTTCTTTTTAAATTTTTCAATGTTACAAAACTATCTAGACCGGAACATACCTTTTTTTCCACTTTTTAGATGCACTAGGTCATTACCTAAGCCTAGGCGTAGACCACCGATTTTTTGTCGGGTAGTTGATCAGTATGGGCATGTAGTATGTATGGAACTGCGCACATTACACCGATTGATTCTTCTTACAAATTATAATCGGGCCTTACTAAAAACTGATGATAAATACATATACCTTAGCTTTAAGTTAACTAGTCTAGGCGTAGTAGTAGGGGGCGGGGGCACCTATTATCGGGATGAATTCGCGTTTGATAGAGTCATAATAAATTAATCATAACGCCTAGACTAAGCCCTAGGCGCAGACCACCGATTTTTAGTTGGCCGATATTTGGGTCGGGCTGTTAATCACTATGGAGATGTATGAAGGTGCGCACATTACACCGATTTGGTATCGGCCAATTCTTCATACAAATTAGAATGGGGCCCAACTATCGGCCAACTAAAAGTCGGTGGTCTGCGCCTAGGCTAAGAAGGTAGTTAACTTAAAGCTGACCTATTAACATCAGTTTTTCATACGGATGCCTATGATATTGTACATACGAGTAAATATTTGTTACTTAATTCGAAGAAACTAGCTACAATCTTACTTCCTTCTACTGAATATTATAAACTAGCGGCCGCCCGCGACTTCGTGCAAGTGGGCCTCCTTAGGGGTTGAATTTTGGAAAATCACCTACGTTATAAAAGGAACCCTCATGCAAAATTTGAGACTCCTAGCACTTGTAGTTTCTGAGATTTCGTGATGAGTGAGTCAGTGACCTTTCGCTTTTATAGATACGAGTATATGTAGAATGTAGATGTTAAAGTTTGTGTGGATAGATGGATGTTTGTTCCTCTTTCACGCAAAAACAACAAACGGATTTTGATATAACTATTAATTATTATTTGGTATCTTTGTCAATTTATTAATTGAACAAATCACAACGATAGTGTCAAGTAAGTCGGTTATTCTTTGACAAACTGAATTTCACGCAGATAGAGCAAAAGCTTTTACCATTTTTCAATCGTAAATAAATTAACGTTAAGACGTAGGAATCTTTTAGGGTATTCATCGAAGCACAAAATGATTTTTCTTATACATAATATAGGACTATAATAACAAGGAAACACCACTTAAACTGAATTTGTATCAAGTTGTTTGCTGTATTAGGTCATTAACCACCAACTTCTTTCACAGATGAAAGCCTGAAATGTCGTAACTACTGCTTTCACTTACGTTAAATTACTGCTGGAGTTAGTGTCAAAAATAATTAATAGGTAAAATATTTTTTTAATGGACTGATGTTTTAAACCTTTTTATATTATTATATATAGTTAAAATCAATCTTAGCCGTTTCACTAAAGTTTTTTTATATTATTTAGATATTTTTATACTCCTGCATACCTGCGTCGTCGTGAGTGCACCTTATTTTACAACAGTAATACCATACATTGTAGAGTTTGAACAGTTTCCTTTACTCAATCTTACTTCAAAACACATTTTAATTTTTTTATACTTATTAATATGATATTGGATTAATAACTACGTCCAACTAACAATGTTATTTATACATTGTTATCTACCACAAGTTTCCCTTAAGTTTAGCGTAGAGTAAGCGCTAAGTACCTACCTAATAATCGTATGAAATCGCATTTAATAATATCCTACTTCCTACTATTAATATTATAAATGCGAAAGTTTGTATGGATGTCTGGATGTTTGTTACTCTTTAAAGCAAAAACTGCTGAATGGATTTTGATAACCCTTTACAGTATTATTGTTTATAACCAAAAATAATATACCTATAGGCTATAATTTATGACGATCTCTGACAAATTAAATTTCACGCGGGTGAAGCCGCGGGCAAAAGTTAGTAATAACAATATATGAAATACCTACATTGCATTCTAATTATATTTGATCCCTGCAAAAAAGAATCCGTTGACCATTTAGTCATCGCCGTGCCCCTCGGCCGACGACACAGGAAGCGCCGGAAATGCTGCCAAATGTAAAAAGATCTGTAAAAAATAATCCCCTGACGTCCGGATTTTTGCAAGAATAGATTATTGGCTTTTAAAACATAATCGCCGATTATCTCTTGATCCTTTTTGCAGTATCCGCAAAGACCAGGAATTTAAAAGCACGAAAATTGACTTCTATTTTGTGAGAATCTTTGCAGTAATGAACAAACTAATCGTTATAATAAGTTAAAATGTTACAGAAAAGTACAAGATTAAAGCTCTACATTCGTGGTCGGCTGGTTAAAGTGATCTGTTGAATTAAGCTTTTGGTTCGCTTTTAAAGCTTTTACGCAAATTTTTAAAGATTGATTCTAAAATAAAACAATTTTAAAACTGGTCTACTCAACGTTTCAGCTTTTTACCAAGATATTTTATAACCTCGATTAATCACACTATTACAATTAATTAGTTCTTAGGTAATTAAAGTATTATACAAACAGAAAAGACAAAAATCTTTAGGTTATTTTTGAAAACTTTTTCAAATCTATAATTTTAGGCCATCGCTGGCTGGCTTATAAAGCCTGAAAACGATTTTTCACGGAATTATTAAACAAATACAAATGCTCATTTGCCAAATAGTATACGTATAGAGGCAATGATAATGATTTGTGCCGTAACAGTGTTTGTTTGTCGCAGGTATGACGGTACGAAGATAAAGCGGGAGGCAGTGCGCAGGGAACAGGGGTGTCCTTGTGCTGACGACGCACAGCACGAGCTGTGATGTGCTGCTGGCTTAACAACAGCACTTGGACTCTACACTATGACCGTCTCTACACCATAGAGGTTCATTCATAGTGCCACAAGACTTTTTAGTATGTATATTCGCTTGAAAAACTAAGTATTGTATCATATACTTAACTTTTCTTAACCACAAGTCATGTTAACGCATGATTAACAAAAACGCGCTGTAGATTTGTATATTTTAATCAATTGAATATACTCATAATATGAAACTATTCCGAAGTAGAAAGTAAATTATCAGCAAATCAACAATTTGGTCATTGATTCCGTTTATGACAATATTCTATTACAGTATTAAACATGGGAGTGTTTATCAATTATGTAAATATATTACTGTCGTTTAAATAGATTTTAATTTCTAAATTATTAAAGCTTTACAGATGTTTAGTTAAGATATTTAAATTCTAGTCTATTCATTGCTAAGTTCGTGACATTGTAATATTGAAAGTGAAAAAGTTTCTGGTGGTTCTTAGTTAAATATTCATAAATTAATGTAAGTACTATGGCATTTTCAAAATATGGTTATTATGTAAAATGTGTGTTCAAAGTTGTATCTAAACACTTAATTGAAAATGATATGTTTGGGTCGATAATGATGAGTGTGTATTATAACTAAAAATAAAATAAGATCCAAAATAATCAAGTCATTTTATAATATTTCAAGATAGCTAGGATAAAAAATATTCACGGTACCATGATTCATAGTATCTGTCAATCAATCAATTTTAATGAATCATGTTTAATTATGTAAGATTCGTAAACAGCAAATATTTTTTGTTACAACGATTTAACATAGTAAGATAGAAGAAGTAAATACCTAAATACTATTCAAAATTGTTCATTATGAATTCATAACTAAGATGGACACTGCATTCTGTCGTATTTTGGGTTCATTATGTCATTGTAAATGAACTTGCCAGATGCGTACCATGCATGCATAAAATTAACTATCTTTATTTTACCATTTTTTCCTTTATGCAGTCTCTTTGTGTGTACTTTTATGTATGACCCTACAAGCCATTCCAAAATTATAATATGTATCTTACATGTATAATATTTATCACATCATGTCTGTAAGTTATTGATTTGTTTAATAAATGTGCACACTCATATAGACTGAGCATTTTCTACTAAGTTTATTTATTTGAAAACTTTCAATAGTATGTGTAAGGAGGCCGAATGTAGGCGTGTAGTTTAACTAAGTATTCTGAGATATTTAGAGTAATAGGATCAATAGCATAGCCAGTAGATGTTAGCCACACTTATTATTATGAATTTCAGACTAAGTACATTTGACATAAGGATGTAAGTATTTGAAGTGTGGGATTAACTTGTGATTTCTTGCATAAATGTAAAATAACAGTTTCTAACGTATTCGATTCTATTCATTCCTATACTACAATCTGTAAAAGCTACCTTTTATGGTATTAAAGCAAAAAGCTCGATGGAGCTACGTAGGTTTTCTTTTACTATGTATAATCAAATAACTTACCTTTTCTACTTTCGTGATGTATTTTGCAGTTGTTTGACGTTCTTGCCGTTTACCCAATTTTAGTATTCTACACACATTGATAGTTATCAAGTGTAAACATAGAATTAACTAGCATTTGTATTTCTATCAATTATAAAGGCTTATTCAAACACAAAATTGTCGCGAAACAACGATAAGAAGTAGCGAAAGAGTGATAATGGAATGGGCCAACTTCTTTGAGGTAGTAAAAGGAAATTATATTTTCATGGACCATGTGCCTACCATGAGTTTACGTTAGGTGAGCTCGCTAGCGAATACGTCAAAAAATTCTATGAAGATCTTATTTCTTGAAAGTAGCCACTAGGGGCGCTGCACAATATGTCATACATTTAAATGTCATTTTTTTACGCAGTCGCTAGCGAGCACACCTAACGTATAGTTCCAAAATACTGAACTGTCCTATCGATGACATTGACAGCGGGGCGCCACCGTCAATACCGAATCGCTGGTTCCGATTTTTGTCATGTTGGAAACCATAAAGTTGAACGATGGTAGCGCCCCCCTGTCATTGAGTTTGGCGGGACAGTTCAGCGTGGGTCATCTATAAACTCATGGTAGGCACACTGACGTCGGTACCTTTGTATAATTAAGAAATGTACAGTAGGTACATATTATTTCTTTTGTCCGTACTACAATTATATCGTATGAGTAAAAATTAATGTGAGCCTAGCGAAAACTTATTAAACGACAAAAGTTGTTTCAGAGAGACAATTAGGTAGGTATAAGCAAAAAAATATGACTTACCTACCTATGTACTTCCTGTACTATGCCTACATTTACCAATATTGAATTTATATCGTCTCTGTATTTATTATTATTTATTCATCCTGGAATAATAAATATGTAAGATAGAGTGGCTTTGTAAATTCACAAGATAAACTTTACAGCGCCCCCAAATATCTGAATAAGCCTTTACATTAATAATGACGCCATATTTCAATACCTATGCGTTTTAGTTTTAATACAGTAATGATTTTACATTTTTGAGTGCCATCAACAATGCGCTATATTCCCACCGCACAGAGCTCATTCTCCGTGTGCACATCAAATCATAGCTAATTCTTTAAATTATACATTTAAATAAGTATCTACATAGCCTATAGGTATATTCATTGTGCAATGGCACGAAATTTAACTGTACTTAGATGATTTATTAGTTAATAACTTTGTGATAATTACCATAAATTGTGTGTACATAAATGTATTTAAACAATAAATGTTTATTTGTATTTAGCATAATAATGACGCTAATCCATGTTTTTTATTTTAATTTTAATGATATACCTTATTCGTACACGTAGAAGAAAGTCTAGGCTAATAATGAAAGAACTTTAAACCTATCCAATGTAGAGATGTCGCAGTCTTTATGATTTTGTTTTTCTAAGGCTAGAGAATGCACAATCAAAAAGATTCAGACTGAATCGAAGTGAATTCAAAAGTCTCGTATACTCTACTAAGAAATAAAAGTGTTTCGTAGAATATTCTCTGCACTCGATAAATCTTTAAGTCCATCGATTAAAGTTACGACAAAAATTTTCAAGAGTGGCTTCTTGAATGTTTGAATAATTTACTGACGTTTGTTGAACTGGAATGAAACCGAGGAGTGGCCACTTTGTCAGTCCGACGTGAGACTCGATGATTCATCATTATCGTGGAAACTCAAACGATTTTGGACCGTAAAAATACCGTTCCTTAATTATAGATTGTGTTATGGATTTCAAAACGTATTATGCGATTATCCTCCTTAAATAAATTCTCGAAACGCGGGAAACAATTATGTTCATAAATCACGAAATCATGTCAAAATTTTGCTAATATAGAGTCGCTTGCACCGATATCGATCAACGCGTATAATCAAGATTTTCACCTTCTGCTTTCGTTCCGAGGATCCGTCATCAATCCTTTTCTCTGAAATGCTGCGGTTCCACGGCATTGTGTTACAAAATATCCAGATTTCCGAACACTGTAGCGATGTGTGCGCAGGAGACGTTTATAGCCTGAGAAACTAGCCGGAACAACCGCGAGCGAGGCGTAAGGATTACGTTCAATTGTGATTTGTTTCTATCGTGGGATTTCCAAATTAACATAAAATACGGCGCCGGAAAGCGGGGGCCTATTATTATGATCTCTGATCTGCACCAGGTTTCAGGAACTGAAAAACGAACGCCAGCGAACTTCCAGCTTGATTTAATTTACCTACCAATAAGAATATCAATCCGCGCTTTTTACAAAACACGTAGGCAGATTGTTTTGTGTAATCAATCGGTGCAAGCTCGTTTCAGCTTTCATTAACAGCGGATTCAAAGTAGCAAGACCCGACTGAAATATAATTAATTTACACCTACCCGTTTAATATAGGCACTAAAACAATGATTACCTACTTGCGTATGTCATAATAAAATTGGTTAGTGATTTTTTTGTACCTAATGCACTTCCTTGTCCTTCTACACATTCTGATTTGAGTGAGGCCATTAGTAGGCACGTATTTTTAAATGTCACGTCCTTTTAAATGTTACTGAATATCACCAGCCTTCAGATCGTGTAGGTGGTTCTCAATGGGTGATTTGGTAGACCTCGCATTCCTGTGTTGACAAAAAATGAAGTGTCGTTTCAAGGAACCCAACCTAGGTTTCCAACAATGGGCGCTTCTGACCAGATGGCGAGAGCTGTCGATCCAGGGTTACTTCGAAACGCTGTTTTCGTAGTTTTTGGTCTATTTGTCACCGTCGCTCATGCTATCTCGCTATGCGTGAGAGAGATAGCAATATAGAATCTTCGGATAACGTTTTTCGGAGTAGCCCTGCAGCTTATTTGTTTGGCCATGGCGAGATGGTGAAGGTCGGTGGAGGTCCACTTACGGTGGTCAACGTCAAGTGGGTCTGTCAGCGGCGGCGAGCAGGCTGACGTAGCACCACCCGCGTTGATGGTATTATGAGATCAAGCACCTATAACTTTTATGTGAGTAAAGTAGATATTACATTTTTAATTTGGTATGTAATCCTCTTGTCATTAATGTAAAGTTTTTAAGGCTTTATTGCAAAAAGTTTTTATTGAAAAAATTTAGAGTCAACGACAGCACATAAACTACACATTTTTGGTGCCGAATTGCACTTCCTATTACCTACTATTTAATTATGCCAAGGCTAATGCCATCGTCAATACATAATAAGGCTTCCTTGTCAGGACTACGGAACCCTAAAAAGATAAGCATTAATTTTACTTACGAGTAGGTATGCATCGCTTACAAGAGTTTGAATTTCGCTGAAAAAGCTTACACTATGATTAGATAAACAAAAACAGGCAAACCATGATCTGCCTAATGTTTGAACCACTTGGGGCCGATAGTAGTGACCTCCCCGTGGTGCTCCCTGTAAACGGTGTCCTGCATGCGGTAACTTAGCATCAGGCCCGGCCTGCTACTACTTTTCGGTGAAATCTGTCAATCAATTGACGATGCGACGCAGTACTCGCTCTCACTCTTGTGGTCCTTCTCAGGATAGCGAGATGACAAAGCAACTCGGTGGTGACTTTCGTGGTCCTTTTATGGATAGCGAGATATCGGTGGGATCATTGGATCCTTTTAAGAAGCCTTTGGACGTAGATCCGGAGGCGGTGTTGGATGACAAAAATATAGATTTCTGTTATGTAGGTACTTCTTCTTCTTTGCCTGGCCCTTTTCCATTTTATTTGGGGTCGGCCCTCCGTGTCATGCGTCTCCAGGCGGCTCGGTCCTGGGTCCACTTGCTGTTTACTTGTTAGGTAGGTGTTTCTGTTAAATAATAACTGTATATTTTGCCCACGCGCAAACAAACCAAATCTTGCAGTTTTAAGGTTAGCTTGATCAACACGCAGCGTCACGCGTCAGCAAGCTCGCAAAAAAATCACTAAAAGCTGACTTTGTGTCTGGTGTGTAGTAAACAATCTAAAACACTCCGGACGCATTCACAAGTGAGCAGTTAGGTATAACTTGTCTTCTATCCTACATGGTTTCCGGGTTATGGGTTCCGTTTACGTAAGTATTTAACTATTTTAGTAACAAAATTAGTACTTTTGGGACGTTCAACTTTCTTTTGTTTCCTGTTGTTTTAAGATCTAAGACACCCCGCAGACGACTTTTACACGGCCGATAGTTTGGTCGGGGCTGTTAATCAGTTAAAACTTGAATGGAAGAATGCACATACAGGGTGGCCAAAACAGTGAGGTCTAAAAGAAAAATTTAGATTCCTTACAGCCTACTAGGTCATAAAATTTTAAAATATCACAAAATTGACTCTATCTCCTAAACTAAGCACAATCGTATTACATACATGGGGGTGATTTAGGTACACCTTGATAAGGAATCTAAATTTTTCTTTTAGACCTCACGTGCTCACTGTTTTAGCCACCCTGTATTATTTTATTATTATTATGACACTGTTTGGTATCGATACAAAGAAGCCGACCCAACTATCGGCCGACAAAAAGTCTGTTGTCTGCGGGTGTCTTAAATAATAAAGAAACAGCAGAAATTCGACCATTTGATTTTCAAAAACCTTTTGCTTGTTGTTAAAGATGAAATGCAATCCCAAAACCGTAAAAAATATGAAGCTTTTGGTCATTAAAGTGGATGTAATTCATTTGCTTACACTTTTCATAACAAGTAGGTATATTTTTACAACAGAAAAAAAATATTGTTCTACTAAAACCGACACGTTGCTGATTTTCCCTGCTATTTTCAGTGTGCCTACCATGAGTTTACGTTAGGTGTGCTCGCTAGCGACTGCGTAAAAAAATGACATTTAAATGTATGACATATTGTGCAGCGCCCCTAGCGGCTACTTTCAAGAAATAAAATCTTCATAGAATCTATTGACGTATTCGCTAGCGAGCTCACCTAACGTAAACTCATGGTAGGCACACAGGATACTTTCACTGGTACCATACTACAACTACTACGAATAAGATTAATATCCATACGCGCTCATTTCCTTATTCCATTGTAGAAGGTAAGGGTGCTTATTTTGGCAGAACACCCGGTCAATGAACCGCCGTCGTATTTATTGTTCTACCCACACCACCAGTGTTGGTATTGGCACAAATTCTATTTGTTTAAATGGTAAGTCTTGTGCAAACAGGTAACGTTACATAACAAGGCCTTATAATAACACAGCGCGCCAGATAAAAGCATTATGAAGGTAAGCGTTTCGATTTCGATGCATCGGAGGTAA